CTCCCCCAGACCCTGTTCTGGTGTGTGTGTGGGGGGGTGGGCAGGTGTGGCCCAGAGCACTGAGCTTTGCGGTATGTGTGGGGAAGGTGGTGGATGGCAAGGTTCCTGACAGCTGGGGGGCCTCATGAGCACATTGCTGTAGGAAGCCGGGGCTGAGGATTCCCAGCTGTGGGGGCTCCATCTGGCTCTCCTGTCTCTGACTCTCCAAGGACAAGAACCATCTGGAGGGAAGGGCCTGGGTGGCCTAAAGACAAGGTAATTCCAGGCCAAGGCCACCTTGTGGGGAGCCACAGGGGTTGGGCAGGAAAGCCTTCACTGTCTCCTCTGCTCAGTGTTGTACCTGTGGGCTCCCGGGAGGTTTCTCTGGGGCTCTTCTTCGGGGGTGCCTCTGACCTGTTGCTTGCCAAGGGCAGAGGCAGGGTCCCAGCTTCCCTCTGAGAAGGGAGTCAGTGCATGTGAGGGGAGGCTGGGGAGCGGAAGGTGGCGGCGTGGGCGGGGTGCGGCTGAGCAGCTGCGAAGCTGACGACGTGTGATCCCTGCACAGAGCAGCCCAGGATTTAGCACTAATCCCGGGCAGTTGTACCACGCTGGCCTTGCTGAGCTGGGGACTTCTCACCTCACGGATGCCGCTGCCGCCCTTCAGAGAGAGGGCTGGCCAGGGCGGTGAGGGACGTGAGCGTGTGACTGCTTCTGGCGTCAGGGCAGTGGGCCAGACCTGGGGCCCCGGGCCACCTCCCTTTGCGGTGTGCCGGGCGAGGGGTGAGAATGCCCTCTTTTTATTGTATCCAGGTGCCTTCGCCCCCTTGCCTGATAACATTCTGCTGTTTTTCGACCCTTTCTCCGCCCTGTGCTCTTCTCTCCTGCCCCAACCCGGATAGAGGAATTTCCATATCCACTGTGAACCCTTCATTTTGCAAATGGAGGCATTCAGAGAAAAGAAAGTGACATGCTCCAGTGAGTGACAGAGCGGAACGAAGCCTGAGGCTCCTGATTCCGAGCTCAGGGGGTGGGGGCGTCCCTGAGCAAGAAGGCTCCTCCTTGGGTCGTTCCTCTTGCTCTGTCCTTGATTTCCCGCCACTCTTGGAGATGCTGATGCAAAATACGACCTCTCTCCGTGAAAGAATGAACCGTCACATACACACCCCTATTTGGCCTATGGAATCTGGGACTGGAACCCCAGGCCCCCATGTTACTGCCTCCCTCTTGACCCTTCTTCCCCAGCGGCCTTGTTAGATTGCCTTTTATTGCTGGCTACAGGCTTCCAGCCGCTGGTAGCTGTTCTCCAGCCAGCAGGGCTCAGCTTTCCTCTGGCCTGAACCTGAGGGTGGGGGTGGGCTCACACGGTATCTATGGAAGACACTCCAAGGGGATGGAGGAGAGGGATCAGAGGTGAGGGTGATGACTTTGGATTGGCGTTTGGATTCAAGTCTGGGTGGTGGTAGGGGTGTAGAGAGATCTGGTAGAGGGAAGGGTGGTGTCCCCAGCGTCATGTGTCTGTGGGGGACCGAGCGGGTAGGCAAAGGCTTTCTTTATCCAACTTCCTGCCTCTGCTGTCCCTTCAGCTCAGTGCTGGGAGGGCCCTGCCGTGGCCTGTGCTGGGGACCTCGATGTTCCTGGGGGAAGATACTGGGATGTTTGCTGTGGAACTCTGACCCTGGCCAAGGCTGTCTGACTAAGTGAGGAGGAAGAAGATTTAGAGAACTGGCGAACGAGTGCTGCTGTCTTCCCATCTCTCAGGCCGCAGCTTGGAGTGACAGGTGTGTGTGGGGGTGTGGTCTGAAGGCCATGGAGTAAGGCTGGGCATCTGGACCCCCAGCAGGCTCCATTAGCCTGCACTGTCCCTGAGGGAAAGGCTGGGGCCACAGATGGGTGATCTTGTCTTAACCTTCCTGTGGCCCGTGAGTTTCACTGTGAGCTGGAAAGGGCTGTTGGGGGTTGATCCAGTCCATTCCTCAGCGAAGATGGGCGGGGGCTCTCTGTTACAGATTCTTGAGCCTCGTGTGGTCTGTCTCCCAGAGAGCTTTGCCACCAGCCTGCAGCACCGGGGAACTCCTGCTACCTTTGATCCCTGAGCGGTGCAGACCAGACTGGGAGAAAGCTGGCTTGTGGTGAGGCCTCCACCTGCGATCCTTGCACTCAGCCCTGCCTCTTGTTTGCTCAGTCCGTTCAGCCTCCTGCAATACCCGTGGACGTGGGGCTGGGAGGTCAGCGCTCCAGGGATGAGCGAGCCCCCTGAGCAGCTGCTGCATGTCCGGGGCGCCGGAGTGCACGTACACCCTGGGTGCTCAATGCGGCAGATGCTGGCTCCGCCCCCTGACTTGCAGGCCTCCGATGACAGGAGTGCAGCCCCTGTCCCATCTCTGATACCTGTGTCAGACCACACTGGCTGCTGTGGTCTGACAGGCCAGTGACCTGTCCCTGCTGAGGACCGTGGGTCAGTGTCATCCATTTGGAGATCTTGGGTGCCCCAGCAATGCCCTATCACTTCCTGTGGCTTGTTATTAAATACGTTGGTAATGCAAGTGTGGGGTGTACGGTCTATGTTTTCAGCTCTAGACTCTTGGCATTAGTGGTACCCTGCTCCCACCCTCCCTCTATTTTGAACTGTTTCTAGCTGATCCTGAAAGAGCAACCCCAGCCAGGGCCCCTCTGCCCTGGCCTCTCCTCAGTGGTGGCTATTCCCCTCCCACCCCCAGAGCCAAATCTTTCCAAGGGTGGATAGCAGGTGGGGCCGACAGTGACGTTCATGCCGGCAGTCGGCTGCCCCCCAGTGGCCAGTGTGGGCCAGAACATCACTTCCTTCACCTGGTGTTCTGGGGTCTAATCACAGTCCAGCCTTAACCCGAGGTGCTTTGAAATGAGAGTGGATTTTGTGAGCATGTGCACTGAATTCTAGGTGGTAAACCATCCTGAGCCTCCGTCTCTTCATCTATAAAATGGGGGCAACAGGGGGCACCTGGGTGGCTCAGTCGTTAAGCATCTGCCTTCAGCTCAGGTCATGATCCTGGGGTCCTGGGGTCGAGCCCCGCATCAGGCTCCCTGCTCTGCGGGAAGCCTGCTTCTCCCTCTCCCACTCCCCCTGCTTGTGTTCCCTCTCTCGCTGTCTCTCTCTCTCTGTCAAATAAAATCTTTAAAAAAAAAAATAAAATAAATAAAAATAAATAAATAAAATGGGGGCAACAGTGTCCTTGTGAGGATCAAACAGGCAATGTGCTTGTCCGTAGATAAAAGGTTTTCTACACTGTAATTACCATGTGATGTTATTTTTCTCCCCCCCTGAACCCGACCATTCCCAGAGAAGAGGTGTAGAACCACCCACCCTGTTTCTGGGAACACTTGATTTATTCATCTTTTCGACAAGTATTTACCGAGTGACTGCTCTGTGCCAGGCAGGCTCTGGGACCTGGGGATGAGGTGAACGCCCCAGAGCCCTTGCCCTGGAGGAGCTCACAGTCAGGTAAAGAGCACTGCTCACAAAACTGAAGTTAACATAGACAATAAGTCGTGCCCAGTGTCAACAGAGCCAAGAGCAGAGAGTGACCTGCTCCTAGAGAAGGGGGTGTACTGAATGGGCACTCACAAGGCGAGGAAGGGGAAGAAGAACATTCTGGACAGAGGTGCAGAGGGTGTGGAGCGGGGGGTGCCCTGCGAGCAGGGTAGGTAGAGCACAGTGTGAGACCAGAGGGGTGGCAGCTGGAGAGGAGTGGAATTTACCCTGGGGTAGTGAGGTATCTAGAGGGTTTCAAGCTGCGAAGTGACATGGTTAAGATCTGGATCTTAGGGGATTGGGAGGGAAGTTGGTGGGTGGGAGCAGGCTGGACAGTAAGGAGGCTGTGATCAAAACCCGGCAGAGTCAGGGCGCCTGGGAGGCTCAGTTATTTAAACGTCTGCCTTCAGTTCTGGTCATGATCTCAGGGTCCTGGGGGTGGGGGAGCCTGCTTCTCCCTCTCCCTTTGCTGCTCCCCCTGCTTGTGCTCTCTCTTTCTCTCTGTCAAATAAATAAATGAAATCTAAACAAAAAACAAAAAAAAGCCCCTAAAGCTGGCAAAGTCATAGTGGCCTGGACGAGGGTGGAAAGTAAGGGGACAAATCCAAGTGATATTCAGGGTTCAGGCTTTGTTCACGAGTTGGATGTGGGAGCTGAGGGAGGAGGAGGGAAGGACCTAGTTCCTACTCTGAATTACTGAGTTGTGGGGAGATGCCTGCCACCCACCCAGGTGACATGTTATCAGTTAGGACTTTTGGGGTCTGAATTTACCGGAAACCCAAAGGATATTTGGCTTGAGCATTGGGAATTGGCCCATGGAACTGAAAAGCCCAGGGGTAGCTCTGGCCTCAGGCCTACTGTGACTCAGGTCTCAGCTGATGAGAGCGGCCTTGGTTTCTCTTCCTTCCAGGGCTTGGTCTGCTCACTGCTGTCAGCCTCTGGCAGGGGCGTCTAGTGGTCCGAGCAGGAACTTGGAATCATACAGCTGGATTTGTACCCTGGCCCCACATGCACTAGCAGTGTGATCTGGGCAGCGCGCTTCATCCTCGGTGGCTTGATTCCCTCCTCTTTAGGGTGGTGAAAGGCAGGGCCTATCTTGTGCCTTGTTTTGTTAGGACGGATGAGATTCACACATGTAGGGTGCCTGGCACAGAGCAAATGCACAGTTAGTGTTCATGTTGTTAGTCTCAGCCTCCACGTGAGGCCGGATGTGGCTTTATGGTCAAATCTGTCAGGAAAGAGAGGGGTCATCTCTCAGGTCAGTCAGCCCAAACCTCTGGAGCAGCTGAGCCTGGGCCTGTTTGACTCTGTACTCACCCTGAAGTACTGTGCTTCGAGGGTAGAATGTTCTAGGCCTCAGTCATGCTCGACTCCTGTGGCTGCCATCCCCTCCCTCCTCCTCACAGCCCCCCTCCCCCAGCCCCACTCCCCACCCCAGCTTCAGCACAGGACCCAAAAGAACGGGGATGTCTCCTCACCAAATCTAGGCCTATTTCAGTCCTGGGGTGAACAGAGGCTGGGTGGCCATAAACCAACTCATGGCTGCTGCAGATACGGGCCGCAGGCAGAGGGGAGGGCTGATGAGTCCAGTTCTGGTGTGTTGAATTTGAGGGGATGCTGTCGGGTGGACAATTGGTGTATGGGGCTGGGGCTCCACAGAGAGAGTTCTGGACCATGTTGCTAGGGCCAGAACACAGAGCTGTGGGAAGGGGTCAGGTTCGGTGGGGTCGTTGGGGGAAGTGGGAGGAGACTGAGCTTGCCACCTTGCAAGACACCACTTAAAGGCAAGGCAGAAGAGGGGCTGGCGAGGAGGCAGAGGACGAGGATCTAGGGAGGTGGGTGGGGAGCCGGGGAGTGGGCTATCTTGGCAGTCAGGGAAGAAAAAATTTGGGAACCGAGTGGGTGGCGAGGAGCGTCCGTGCCCCAGCAGTTGTTGTGTGCTGGGGAGAGGCCTCAGCCGGAGCCCTTGCCGCAAGCAAGTGGGGAAGGCTTCTCCCTACCACACAGCCGACCCGAGCTCCCCTGCTACCACCCTCTGCCTCGGAGCCCTCATTCAGAAGAAAGCCAGGGAACCCACTGTGGGCAGGGGTTGGGTTTATTTGTTTTTATAGCACCCTTCCCTGTACTGTGTGAATGCTTACCACACACGTCTTGCCTCGGCAAAATAAAACAATACAAAACACTCACAATGGAACCTCATCCTAGTCCATGGCCACTGGGCTTCCCTTCAAGGGCATAGCAGCCAGACTTCTGTGAGTCCCGCTTCCTGCCAGGAGGGCTGAGGCTTCAGCCACACCCCCACCCCTGTGAGTCCTCTGTCTGCCTGGACGTGGCTCAGAACGACTCTGTCTCTGAGACCCCGACTTCAGATGCTGCTGTGCTTTATGGTCACACCTTCTGTACCTTCAACCTGCACATTCAAACGTCTTCAAGATGCTCCACCGAACCCACCCTCTACTTCCTCCTTATTCCAGTCCCACCCATCGCCCACTTCCTGCCCCTCCAGTTTCCAGTCCAGGAGCATTACCTCAATCCCGCTCTTGCCCATTTCCCGACTCCACTCCTCCCATGGAGCCCTCCCGGTAGAACCTCAGCCCCGCAGGGATGCAGCTCTCTGTTCTCTGAACTTACACTTGACTGCAGACTGCCTCCAGAGACCACCACAGCCCCGGGCAGACTGATGGCGCCATGAATGGCCACCCAGTGGACCCTTGCCACGCCTGGCCCTCGCTCCAGCTGGCTCTGTCTCCCAGCTGAATTAGGGCAAACCTTCCCCTCTCTCAGACCCTGCCCTCTCTCCTCCCCTGCGCTCTGCTCAGATGTCCTCAACTCCGGCTTCTCACGGAACAGAGGCGCTAGCAGACAACGCTGCCTCTGCTTCTGTCCCCAGATCTGCAGCGCACCTGCTCGGAGCCAGGGGCTTTCTGGGGCCCCGCCCCCGCCCCGCGCTGAGGGGGCGCTCCTGCCTCTGCGCCCCTCCCACCCGGCCGCCCGGTGCGGCTGATGGTCCTCCTCTGCTCCACCGCTCTTTCTCTGCTGGCTCTGGCTCCGAAACACACTCAGGTTTCTTCCAGCTTAAAATAGCCCTCCTCTGCACCCAGGGCTCCTTCAGTTACTGCCCTGCCTCGCACTTCGTCTTTGTAGCCAAACTTCTCCAAAGAGGTGGCCCACACTTGCACCTGTGTCCTGGCCTCCTGCGCACCCCTCCCTCTTCTGAAGATCACCAACCCCTGAGTTCTTTTTTTTTTTTTAAGATTTTACTTATTTATTTGACAGAGAGAGGCACAGCGAGAGAGGGAACACAAGCAGGGGGAGGGGGAGAGGGGGAAGCAGGCTTCCCGCTGAGCAGGGAGCCTGATGCGGGGCTCGATCCCAGGACCCTGGGATCAGGGCCTGAGCAGAAGGCAGACGCTTAACGACTAAGCCACCCAGGAGCCCCCAACCAACCCCTGGGTTTTTATCTCAGCTGCCCTCCTGGCCACTCCTGCAGCTGCTGCCCCCTCCCTCCTCCTCACAGCCCCCCTCCCCCAGCCCCACCCCCCATGCCAGCTTCAGCAAGAAGCTCTGGGCCTTGGAGAGGGGAGGCTGTGACTGTCAGCCCCCCCTGGGTCTGCCACTTACTCGGTAATGGAAATCCTCTCTCTCATGAGTAAAATTGAATAATGCTAATACCCACTTTGGGAAGCTCCCAGATTATGAGATTATGTGGCCCCAGCATGTGGGAGCACTGGCCTGGGTTGAGTCCAGGCCCTCAGCCCCCAGATGCGTGGCCCTGGGAGCATCTTGCTTGGCCCCTGTCCTTTCTCACCGCTCTCCAAGAGTCCTGTACCAGCCCCTCCTCTTTCCCTTCCCAGCCTTGCCTGCCGGGTTCCTCAGGACTCTGTCCTTGGCCTTCCTCTTACCCTGCCCTCTTGCCTGGGGTGCTCCCCCCCACCTTCTGGAGTTTAAATTGCCACCTCTTGGCCATGACTGAAATGTCAGCCGTCTTCGTTGTCATGGGGCATGGCGTTCTCCTGTGTGTCCCTGTTTCCAAAT